ACTTAAGATATTATCTGCCTTAGAAGTTTTCAAAACTTCATGGAAAACTTGAACTTAAAAGTCTGTTTTGGTGCCAAATAAAATTTTAGAATCTACACAGTTTTTCAATGATTGGCATTGTCCATGACTTTTTTGAAGATCCCTCCATGCAGGAATTTCAGAATCATTGTGTACCAACATAGAGTTATCTTTCCATTTTCACAAACATTTTGAAATATCCTTGCATTCATTCATCAGGCATTTACTGGGACTGGTATTATAGTACAGTGGGCGAAGCTGCCACCTGCTGTACTACATTCCGTATGAGTTTGAGTTCCAGCTGCTCCACTTCCAATCTGGTTCCCTGCTTATGTGTCTGGGAAAGCAGTAGAAGAGGAATCGAGTGCTTCGGCATTTGCCACTCCCATGGGAGGCCCGGATAGAGCTCCAGGGTCCTGTTCTCAGCCTGGCCCAACCCTGGCTGTCACAGTCATTTGGAGAGTAAATTAGCAGATGGAAGCTTTCTTTCTGTCTATCTCCCCACCCCCCATAATTCCTATAAATAAATAAATCGGAATACAACAATAACAAATATTTATTAACTGTCCACTGTTCATCAGGCACTCTGTCTGCCACACGTCATTGTGAAAAGACAGATTCCTGATCCTGCAGTAGTTACAGTCCGTGGGAATACTAGACAAGAAGCGGGCTGTTTCCCTGTCTGGGTCCAAGATTTTACTCTACTTACAAGCTAGTCAGTCCACCAGTTGCTGGTGTGAGCGATGAGACTTCAGCGTCAGAGATGGGGGATTTTTATCACTCAGTGCCCAGCAAGCAGCATGAGCGTTAAGCTCTTTTTGGCTCCCCTCACACCCCAGCTCCTGCGGGGGCAGGTGGAGAGGCCCATGTGGATGCCTGCAGCATCTCAGGTTTGCATGGCAGCTAGAAACACAGGACTCAGGAACCCACTGCTCTTGTAAGCAGAAAGAAGCCAGGCACTCTGCTAGAGGAAGATGTCACCTCACCTCAGGATGCTCCTGGCCAAAGTATCCCTGAGAAACGGCTGGCAGGTCCTGCATCCTTGCCACCCCAGCAAGAGCATAGCAAGGTTCCCAGGCTGGTTCCTTCTCTTAACACCCTTCACTGTGAAACAGGGGTAATAAAAGTGCCTAACTCATAAAGATGTTGTGAGGCTTTGATGAGATAGTCTCTGTCAAAATTGTGGAAACTGGGGTTCTTAAAATAGGGTGCAACACCTGGCACAAAAAGTAACAAATGTAAACTGCTGCTACTTATAGTTGAATTACTGTAAGCAGAAGGTGCTATTTAAACATTTAATGGATCTCTGAACTGCTGTGGGATGAAATAATAATAATATTGTTTTTTAAGGATTCATTTATTTTTCCTGGAAAAGCAGATATTTTACAAGGAAAGAAGGAGAGACAGAAAGCGGGGTCTTCCACCTGCTGGTTTACTCTCCAAATGGTCCCAAAGGTGAGAACTGAGCTGATCCAAAACTAGAAGCCAGGAGCTTCCTCTGAATCTCCCACATAGATTTAGGGGTCCAAGAACTTAGACCATCCTCCACTGCTTTCCCAGGTTATAAGAATGAAGTGGGTGGGAAGTGAAGCGTCCAGGTCTTAAACTGGTGCCCATGTAGGATGCCAGCCCTGCACATGGAAGATTAGCCTGTTATGCTACTAAGCCAGTCACAATAATATTGTTTTTTGAAAATAGATGAGGCCAGCATTGTGGTATAGCTTATTAACCTTCCACTTGGGCTGCCTGCATCCATATCAGAGTGCTGGTTCAAGTCCCAAAACTACACTACTCAAAATAGGGTGTTACTGGCATTAAGGCAGACATACAGGCTGTTGAAACAGAGAGCCCGGGAAGAAAGCCTCCAGGATGGAGAAATGATTTGAGACAAAGGGTGTTCAGGATACAGTGTGGAAAACACAATCTCATTACCAATTACTGCTGGAGACATTGGATATTCCCATATGAAAACATGAAATATGTTTCGTCTTACCTTACTCTATGCACAAATGTGTTCTCAAAGTGGTTTGACAACCTAAACATAAGAGCAGAAACTATAAAACCAGAAGAAAACATAGTGAGAAAGTTTCATGACTTCATGTTTGGCAAAGATTTCTTGGATATGACACAAAAAGTATAAGCAGCAGAAGCAAAACGAGGCGAGTACATTACACTGAAGAACTTACACGCTGTGCAGGAAATGCTCAGCAAGTGAAAAGGCAAATTATGCCATGAAAAATAGCATTTGAAACTATATAGCTGATAAGGGGTCAACATCCAAAATATATGAGGAACTGCTACAACTTAACTTCAAAAACAATAAATGAAAAATAACCCATCTTAAAATATGAGCAAAGTATTTAAGTAGGCATTTGTTTAGAAAGGTACACAAATGTTGCACAAGCAAATTAAAAGATGGTTACTAGCCATTGAGGGAAATACAAATTAAAACGATGTTAGATTGATATCATGCCCATTAGGATGGCTGAAAGAGAAGAAAGGAAGGAAAAAAATAACACATATTGGCAAGAACATTGAAAAATGTGAATCTTTGTGCGTTGTTGGTGAAAATGCAAAATGGTGCAGTTGTTTTGGAAAACAGTATGGAGGGTCCATAAAAAATTAAAAAGAGAATCAGGCTGGTGATGCGGAGTAGTAGGTAAAACCACTGCCTGCGATGCTGGCATCCCACATGGGTGCCCTTTCAATCCTGTCTGTCCCACTTCTTTTAGTTTTAAAAAGGGTTGATTTGTGTTTATTTGCAAGGCAGAGAGAGAGATCTCCCTTCCCCCCCCCCCCCTTTTTTGTTTCACTCCCCAAGCGGCTGCAACAGCTGGCGCTGAGCTGATCCTGAAGCCAGGAGTCAGGAGTTTCTTCTGCTGGGTCTCCCATGCAGGTGCAGGGTTCCAAGGCTTTGGGTGGTCCTCTACTGCTTTCCCAGGCCATACGCAGGGCACTGAATCAGAAGTGGACTAACCAGGTTCCCTAGCTGTCAGGGAAATACTAATGAAAACCATACTGGACAAGTTCAGAATAAGGGATAGTCTTTCCTATAAGAAAGGAGAACTTGTGCCCAATTTCAACATAGTATCACGGCAGCTTTCTCATTGCGGTGGCAGCAGCTAAAAATTTCAGTGTCTTTAGACTTCTCCTTAAGCAAAAGTTGCCTCAGAGTGCCACATTCCCCAGCCCTGCTGGTTCCTGGTCGATTCCTGCTCCCATTCCTCAGAGGAACTTCTCCTAAACTGCACTGATCTGAAGCCTCATGTGCACACTGTCCGCTTCTGAGTCAGTGAACAATGAAAGGAGTAGTCTAGTGGGGTCAACTACTGCCTTTGCTTCGAAACCCAACCATGTCACAATTCTCTGAATCTCACCAAATCGTTGCCGGAGCCAGCATTGTGGTATAATGGATAAGCCTGTTGCCTGCAAGGCTGGTATTCTGTATGGGTACCGGTTCATGTCCTGCCAGTTCTGCTTCCAATCCAGCTCTCTGTTAATAGTCTGGGAAAGCAGAGGGAACGTGATCCAAGTGCATGGGCCAAAACTCGGAGAAGCTCCTGGCTCCTGGTTTTGCCCTTGTCCAGCCCTGCCTGCCTGCTTGCCTGCCTGACTGTTGTGGCTACCAGGGGAATGAAACAATGGATGGGAGATATCCCTCTCTCTCTCTCTGTAATTCTTTTTTTTTTTTTTAAGATTTTATTTATTTTTATTGAAAAGGCGGATATACAGAGAGGAGGAGAGACAAAGAGGAAGATCTTCCATCCAATGATTCACACCCCAAGTGACCACAATGGCCGGTGCTGTGCCAGTCCAAAGCCAGAAACCAGGAGCTCTTCCAGATCTCTCACACGAGTGAAGGGTCCCAAGGCTTTGGGCCGTCCTCGACTGCCCTCCCAGGCCACAAGCAGGGAGCTGGATGGGAAGCAGGACTCTCAAATAAATAAATCTTCCCAAAATATTCTTAAGGATTTACGAATTAGGGCTCAGCGTGATGACTCAATTGACTAAATCCTTCCCTTGCAAGCACCATCATACCATATGGGTATCAGTTCATGCTCTGGTTGTTCCACTTCCCATCCAGCTCCCTGCTTGTGGCCTGGGAAAGCAGTTGAGGACAGCCCAAAGCCTTGGGACCCTGCACCTGCGTGGGAGATCCAGCAGAAGCTCCTGGCTTCATATTGGCTCAGCATTGGCCATTGCGGCCATTTGTGGAGTGAACCAGTAGATGGAAGACCTCTGTCTCTCCTCCTCTCTGTAAATCTGCCTTTTAAGAAAAATAAGTACAACTTTTTAAAAATTATTAAAAGCTCAATTTATTCTTTAAAAAGGTTTAAAAGCTCATTATGCTTTCCATTTCACAGGCTGGCTAACTAAGGTACAGCAAGGCAACCCAGCTCCGGAGGATCCTAGCAGGGACTAGCCACTGGATAGTGAAGTCTCAGCTCCCCCTGTGTCACCTGGCAATCACCGGGCATCAGTCCCTAGGGATTCCTAAGAGCCAGAGGCTGGGGGTCACACCTGTACGATGTGATCTGCCCCTGAAACAGAGAAAGGGCAGGTAACCCCTCCAGCGCTCTCAACTTGGCAATCAGGTGGGTATCATTCCTCCTGTGTGCTACCTACCCTCTCTTCAGCCTCACCAGGACAAACTGTGTTTAATTAGTTTGGGCTGGGAGCCTGGCAGCAGTATTGTCATTTTTTAAAGATGAGAGTTATTTCATAATAGTTGCTGTTAGAATTTTTTCCAATTGGGGAATCTTTGCCTTAGGATGAGACTCCTAAAAGCCACCAGAAGCTGTGTACATCTATGCTATTGTCTGTGCCTAAGTGGGAGGGTGTCAGTGTGTGCGTGCCCACATGGGCGGTCCGTAACATTTTACAGTAGGGGGAGAGGCGCTCCAGTCTCAGGGTTTGGGGGAGTTCCTGTTTGCCCAGGGATAAGCGCGGGAAGAACTGGCATCTGCCTGGGGAATACAGGCAGAGGAAGGAAACTGATTCCGCTTTCAGTTTTATATATCACTCTGACTTAGTAAAATTCCATTTGCCATATAAACGTGTAAGAAAACGTCTCTACATGAGGACTGTTAAAACTCACTCTTTCTCTTCACTCTCAGACCTGGCTCCAGGTGGCTGCGGTACCACCAACCTCAGTGGAGTCTTCCAAGTCCCGGGGCGCAGGATGGATGGGCTGCAGCCGGGACGCACCTCCTACCTGTGGCGCCGGCTCTCGCAGGTGCTCAGGCAGCCAAGGCCCCGCCCCGGGGGCACCGCGCCGCACCGGAGTGGCCACCGAGGTGTCCAGGGGCGGGACCCTGGCGCCCCGCCCCCCGACCAAGCTATAACTGCGGTCCCGGCAGGGCGGCCACGGGCGGCTGGAAATGCGCGCCTGGACCCTGGTGAGACTCTGAGCGTGTTGGGCTGGGCTGTTGCGGTGGAGGTGCGGGAAGGCGGGAAGGAGGTGAAGGCGATCTGTGGGTTCCGGCCGGTCCCGGGGCACAGTGCCTCCTCCAGTGCTGGCCGGCAACTTTGACCTCCTGAGCCACAGGCAGCGCTGGTGCCAGGAGGCGCTAAGCACGCAGCCAAGTTGTGCTAGCTGTGCCTTGCCTGTTCCCGCTTTAGGATGACTTTTGTTTGTTTGCAGAGCATGGACCTGGCGTGCCTCTGGCTGGGGCTGTTGCTGCCGGTGGTGGCTGCTCTGGACTACACCTACCACCACCAGGAAGCGATGGAAGCATTTCTGAAGCGTGTTGCCCAAAACTACAGTTCCATCACTCACTTGCACAGTATTGGGAAATCCGTGAGAGGTAGGGTCCGGCGCCTGCATGCTCCTCGCTCTTTCTCTGTCCGCCTGTGCCTGCCGTGCCGCGTGCCGACTGCTTTTTCTACTAGTTGTGTTCCACTTCTCGTGTGCGTCAGGGGAGAGGGCGGTGGTAGAAGGAAGGAGTCCTTAGCCCTGTCCAGGCTCCTCGCAGATCCCGGTTGTCTGGGAGGTGTGTCAGTTGCTTTTCAAGAGCCGTGTCTCCCCTAGGAAGGCGGTTCATCCATCCCGGCGTTCTGTTTCGTTGACTTGTGTTTTGGGCAGTTAGCATCGCGTCTTTCTATCTCCTTTAGGCTAAAATAGTGCAAGTTTGTTGCTGACATTCCTGTGCCACGTGTAGTTAGCCGTACGGCTTACAGTGATGCAAAGCTCTCATTTCTGTGAGTTTTCTTTTCATCTTAAGGAGTGCAGCTCTGTGGCTAAGATGTGTGTCATGTATGATTAGCCTTATACTTTAAAGTTAGGCAAAAAAAAAAAAAAGTGGCTCTGTGATTAAAGACTGACTTTTAAATGTGTCCATCCTGAGAGGACATTCCGCTGGACCTGTGTGTGTGTGTGTGTGTGTGTGTGTGTGTGTGTGTGTGTGTGTACAGGCGTGCTGATCCTCTTGCTAGCATTCTCATATTTATGACTGAATTGTTTTGTTGTTTTAATTTAGAAGCCAGGTTCAGGCACATCAGGTTGTCCTAGCTTCTTACAGGCAGCAAGCCTGAGTGCTAACTTCTGTAGCCAGAGTTGACACCCAGATCATCACTTCAGATGCTGTCAAACTCCACCTGCATTCTAGTTCTGTACCTTCTAGTCCACCAGGAGTTGCTTAGTTACCAAACACGTCAGCAATCATTTAAAAAATTAACATCATGGCTTTTATATTAGAGAAAAAGTATTAGCATGCCATGTTAAAAAAAAAAAAACAGCCTGGGTAGTGTGCAATGCTACCTTCATTTTTAAACAACATTGCCAAAGAGTTGGTGCCAAAATTACTCTATATTGCTCTATAATCCAAAATTACAGAGGCTCTATGTTTAGAAACCATATTTTGAATCAGCATATGTGCCTTTTGAAATTATTTTGCCTAAGGCTAGAACAGGGCAATTTAAAAAGATCTAAGAATATTAATTATGTTAATAAAGACAATATAGGACAGAAGCAGCTTGAGTTATTGTTTGGTCATCCTTTAAACCACAAGATGATGAGAGTGTTGTTCATTTTGAGTGCTAAGTGATTTAGTAATTGTTAATGCTATCCAACACAAAATGCTGGTGAATGACACTTGAGGACTTTCTTAATGAATACCTGCTCTTCGGATTTAGCCTGCATGAAACAAAACCACAGGGACAGCCAGCAGGATTCATTTTACTTTTACCTTGTATGCACTCTGTGGTTAAAGGCCGGAGGGGTTGTGGTGTGGAAATAAAGTCTGATACCAGCAGTCTGATATTTGCGTGGACTGTGTCACTCTTAATAATTACTGAGATGGAGAAGAATCCCAAATCCACCATTAGGTTGCAAATGGCAGATGAACCTGCAGGCCAGCGACTGGGAGTTACTGGCCAAAGTAGCACCACCTGTTATGACAGTGGGACACTTTGCAGGTGTTCCTCTTAGAGAAGCTTCCTTCGCCATTCTGCTCCCTGGTGTAGCGGGAGATTGCTCAGCAAGCAGGATTCGCTATGTGTGTTCTTCATTAATTTATTAATATGAGGAGCCTTACCCAGAAGGAAATGCAATACTTTTACCTAGCCAAATATGTTTTTAATTGTTGTAGCTGCATATCAGAGTTTTCCATTGCTGTAATTATGGATTATATTTTGCTTTTGTTTTCATTTCACTTCATTTTACTCTCTTTTCATGAATTGGCATAAGCAACTATGAATTACTTCCTGCATGGTATTTTTTTAGGTGGTAGAAAAAGAGAAACCAAGAGCCCTTCCATCTGCTGGTTGATTCCCCTAATGCTCTCAATGGCCAGGGTTATAACAAGGCTGACGCTGGGAGCTGGGACCTCAGTCCAGGTTTCCCTACGTGGCTGGCAGGGACCCAATGACTTGAGCCATCACTGCTGCCTCCCAGGGTGCACATTAGCCGTGAGGTGGAATCAGAAACCAGAGTGGGGCAGGAACTCAGGCATTCCTTGAAGCTATAAAGATGGATCTTCCCTTTGTTCGCTGTCTCTTCTTTTCCTCCTGCTCTCTGTCTGTCTCTGCTCTTCTCGCCCACCACTATGCTCTTCATTTCTCTTCGTCTTTTTCTCACCTCTCTGCTTTCTCTGCTCTGTGCTCCTCTGTCTCTGCTCCTGCTTTCTCTCTGCCCCATGGCTGCTTCCCCTCCTGAAATAAAGACCTCCTTGGGTGTCTTGGATCTGGATTTTGCGTTTGTGGCAAAAAACAAAAAAAAAAGATAACAGTTCCAGTGTGGGATGCTGGCATTCCAAGGGACATTTTTTAAAAACATCTTATGCATTTGAAAGACAAAGAGAAAGGGAGACTCTCTCTCTCTCTCTCTCTCTCTCTCTCTCTCTCTCTCTCTCTCTCTCTCTCTCTCACACACACACACACACACACACACAGATCTTCCTTCTGCTGGTCCCATTCCTGGATGATCACTACGGCCAGTACTAGGGCAGGTGGAAGCCAGGAGCATCAGTTGGGTCTCTCACACACGTGGCGTGGATCCCAAACCTTTGAGCCATTTCCACTGCTTTTCCCAGGCTATTAGGGAGCTGGATTCAGAAGAGGAGCAGCCAGGATATGGACCAGGCCCCATGGGTTGCTGACCTTGTAAACAGCAGTTTCATCCGCTATGCTGCAATACTGCACCCCAAGGGGTATCTTAACTCTGTGTCAACTGGCCAAGCCAATTTTGCTTTGTTGATTACATGAAGCTTCTCATTTATTTGCCTCTTTGGAGCATCTGCACAACCTAAGTTTCTCACAAGCAATGATAGATAATACTCTTAATTTGTTATTTGGCATAATTGCCTTCTATTTTAACAGGTGGTTTTCTCAATATTTTATTTTGAAATATTTTGAAAGCCTCAGAAAAATCTAGTACACATTCAGCCACAGGAGTCTTAGTGTATTTCATCTGAGCCTTGTGAAGGAAATTCTACTACTTGGTGAAGAAGATTTTTGATGAAAGACGAAAAGCAACTCAACAGACTAATGATGGAGATAAGGAAAATCAGGAAAGGCACAGTGTTCATTGGTTCATTCATTTGTTCTTCCATTTAGTTAAGAGACCATTTCTCTTTTTCTCACCTAACCCCTTCATCTAGCAGGATGCCTGGCACATAATCAGTAACCTATGGGTTTACTTACTGCATTGTATATCTGCAGAGCAGATGTCCCTTAAGGGGTCAGTGCTATTATTCAATAAGTGCCACCAGTGGTGCCTGCATCCCATATGGGAGTGCTCCCACCACAGCTCCCTGCCAGTGTACTGGGAAAGCAACAGATATTTCAGGTCCTTGGGTCTCTGATCCTCAATGTGGGAGACACATAAGAAGTTCCAGCCTTTTGGCTTCAGGAACCATTTTGGCCCTTTGGAAAATGAATCAGCCGAAAGAAGATGTCTGTGTGTGTGTGTGTGTGTGTGAGAGAGAGAGAGAGAGAGAGAGAATGATTGACTCTACCCTTTGAATGCAAATATCTATGTATATTTTAATCCCTTAAGAGGCAAGCAAAGATGTACATTATTCCTTCTGTGACACTCAGCCCCTTTCAAATCCAATGCATTTAAAAGATACTTCTCACTTGATCTTAGACAAAAGGCTAGGTGATAACTATGTACTTCTCAAGCTACGTTCTCCATGCTTACCCCCAAATCTTTTAAAACCATGTTATTCTTTAAGGAAAAAGAGAACCCTGTGTCAAAGCCTAACCCTGAACTGATTGCAGCTGCTACACAAGAAATCTCATGGGTCCACTTGAAATGAGATGTCCTAACCATGTGTTTCAAGAAGCTTGCTCTTGCTTTATTTTATCTGCATGGGGAAGGTCGCAAAGGGGAAGGGTAGATAATTACAATCCCCTTCATCAAATACTCCTGTGTCTTAATGAGTTTAATTTCCCTTATCAAGCTCATCCCTGTATTTTAATGTAATTTACCCAATTGCAAAGTAGGCATTCTCTTCACCTGCAGTAGATATTAAATGAAGTGCAGTGGTCAGGCTGGTGTGGGAGGGAAGATGCACACTCAGGGCTGCCCGTCTTGCCAGCCTATCTTGTCTCCCTTTTAAAAAGGAGCTAGTCACAGATGGAGATGCTGCATGGAAGTTTATTTCTAAACTCTTCCTATTAGAAATAGTGCTGTGGGGAAGACCCTCACAGCTAAGCCAGCACCGGTTGTGTGGGCACAGCCTTGTGAACTACAACACCCATGTGCAATTTCTAGATCCTCAGATTTGTACCTGTATGACCTGGAGTCTCCAGAAGAATGACTGGCACATAGCACATGTTCCGTAAGAGCTGCTCACACAATTACTATTGTTATAGGTCCATTTCCAGAAAGGAAATTATTGAATCTAACAATAAGAATTGTTTGTCCATTTCCTGTGCCCATTTCTTGAGTGGTTTGTTTGTTTTGGTGCTTTGGTTGTTCTGTAGATCTTTGTATATCCTGGAGATTAGCCCCCTATCACCTATGTAGTGTGCAAAAACCTTCTCCCATTCTGTGGGTTGCTTTTTTACTTTGCTGATTGTTTCCCTTGCTGTACAGAAGCTTCTTAGTTTGATGAGGTCCCATTTGTTTATTTTGGTCTTGATTGCTATTGCCTTTGAGGTCGTTTTTAGGAAGTCAGGGCCTACACCTAGATCTTGTAGTGTGTTTCCTACATTTTCTTCCAAAAGTTTGAAGGTTTCTGGGTGTAGGTTTAAGTCTTTTATCCATTTAGATTTGATCTTAGTGTATGGTGAGAGGTATGGATCTATCTTCTTGTTTCTACAGGCTATCATCCAGTTGTCCCAACAGCATTTGTTGAATAGACCTTCCCATTTGCTCGGGTTGTCGTCTGTCTTTTTGTCAAAGATTAATTGGCTGTATCTCTGTGGGTTTCCTTCTGTTGTTTCTATTCTGTTCCATTGATCCTCTTCTCTGTCTTTGTGCCCACTGCCCTATAGTATTTCCAGTAGTCTGGAACTGTAATTCCCCCCGATACATTCCTATTCTTCAGAATGGTTCTAGCTATTCGTGGTTTTTTGTGTTTCCAGATGAACCTATGTTTCATTTTTTCCAGTTCAATGAAGAATGTTCTGGGTAGCTTGATTGGGATTGCATTGAAAGTGTATGTAGCTTTTGGTAGTAGAGATATCTTAATGATATTAATTTTGCCTATCCAGGAGCATGGGATGTTGTTCCATCTTTTGAGATCTTGTTCAATTTGTTTTAAAGTGTTTTGTAATTTTCATCAAAAAGGTCTCCTACGTTTTTGGTTAAATTTATTCCTAGATACCTCATGCTTTTCTCTGTTATTTTGAATGGTAACTTGCTGGTTAGATCTTCTTCCATTTTAGTGGTGTTTGCGTACACTATGGCTGTTGATTTTTGTTCGTTAATTTTGTACCATGCCACTCTTCCAAACTCTCGTATAAGTTCTAGCAGTCTCTGTATTGAGTTTCTTGGTTCTTCTATGTAAAGGATCATGTCATCTGCAAATAGTGAGAGAAATGGGCACAGGAAATGGGCAGACGCTTCACAAAAGAACAAACCCAAATGGCAAACAAACATATGAAAAAATGTTCAAGCTCCCTGGCAATAAGGGAAATCCAAATGAAGACAACAATGAGGTACCACCTAACGCCAGAAAGAATGGCACACATACAAAAAACCACCAACAACACTTGCTGGCGAGGATGTGGGGAAAAGGGAAACCTACTCCACTATTGGTGGGACTGCAAACTTGTTCAGCCTCTATGGAAATCAGTATGGAGGATACTAAAACAATTGAAAATCAGCATACCATATGACCCAGCAACAGCACTCCTAGGAATATATCCAAAACACCTGTTTTATGAGAAACCAACATGCACCCCTATGTTTATAGCAGCACAATCAGTAATTGCAAAAACCTGGAAGCAACCGAAATGCCCATCACCAGAGGACTGGATAGGAAAGTTATGGTTCATATACTCCATGGAATACTACTCAGCTATCAAAAAAAATGAAATACAGTTCTTTGTGGCCAAATGGGCCCAATTGGAATCCATTATGCTAAGAGAAATGAACCAATCCCAAAAGATTAAATACCACATGTTTGCCTTAATCTGAGACAAAAAGTTGTTAATCTGGAAAATAATACCAATACATTGTAACATTATTGC